AATATTTTAAATATCCAACAAATTTAACTTAAATTCAACAATTATTATACAGTTATTGTTTTCTTTTATTCCAGCTTTTGACAAAAGCCTGCTATCCACCGGCAAAAGGCCACAGCATGGTTTCCGAAGCCCTTTCCACTCTCCGTCTAAGATATGGTGAACCAGTTCGCTTCAGATTTCTCGTAGGGATGCTCCAAAGTTCTGGTGGTTCTGGGGATCTTCAGGCAGCTGGTCTTGCCTTCATCAATGCCCTATTGAGCAGTGCTCCAACTCCTCAACGGAAGCTGTACATCCAAGCTGAGTTAGAGCAGGCTGGCTTTGATATTGTTACTTTGAAAAAGGTAGGATTCGAAAAATTATTTATATTATAATAGATTATTAAAATATTTGTATTTAAACATCGAAATGTAGAAGAACAAATTAAGATCCCACAATAGCATTATCGACACCTATTACATATGCCTTTAAATAGTATTATAATAAGGTCCTAATCCTTGTCTGTTTCCTTTTTTTATTTTCACTGCCTTCAGTTGAAGAATAACCTAACAGAAGGTCTACCACATTAAAGAATCAGTATTATAGGTATCCTTGAGATCATAAACATTCTTATCAAGTTCATGTAGTATATTTGTGTATACATTTTATTATTATCTATTTATTTTTAATCATCAATGATTATGAGATTAACCTTTAAATCAGTATCTGTAATTACGTCAATTTCGCGGATGTCGCGGGAATTCACTGGGTTTGGAAAGTGCATTAGGTAGTTCAAACTGCACCAAACTTTATTGCTGTACTATAAAGTCGAAAATCGAATTAACCCATTTGTACTTACGTAGTAGTTAGTTGACTTAAGCCCTAGCTTACTAAAGTGATAAGGTTAATTTCATAAACAAACAAAGCATAATCTCACTTTTAAAGCCGGTAGAATTTTGGCATTACTAAAAATATTTTATGGACATTTTTAAATTTCTTTATGTCGAAAACTTCAAAAACAAATATTAAAGTCCCAATCTATAAATTACGATATCTGAACAATTGATACAAAATTGTTCTTTGAAAAACAACTAATTAATATTGATTCACATACACAACTGAGGTTTTGGAAATTTTTCAGATGGTAGCCAAGCTGCCGAGTGCAAACGATCAAGTGACGAGAGAGATTGATGATTACGAGAAACAACTGATCGACATTGATACGTTGAGCGAAAAGGCCAATGAGGCACAGAGAGAGAAAGACGATTTGAGGCACAAACTGGAACTGCTTGAGAAGAGAGTCAAGGTAAGACTAAATTAAGTAAACAACATGGTGTGATTTACTTTGTTAATCGTTTTTTTTTTTCAACTCATCTTCAGTAATCACAAACTCGTGTAAAATGAGTTTGCTAAAATCCTTGATTTTAATGTTGTTGGTGTTATTAAATATTTAAATATCCTTAAAAGTAGAGGCATCTCGGCTCGTTAAAATATCGAGCACTAGAATCACATTGCATACCATACAGCTGGCTAACTTCTTATAATTCTTAACTTATAAACCTAATTTCGTATATTTCTTATATTAATAGACGATTATTTTCTTCTCATCATTAGATTCTTCAAGAAGAAAAAGGGATCCTGCTGTCTTTAGAGAAATGTTTGAAGGAGAAATGTTGCGAACTTCAAGAGGAAGTGTCTTCACTGCGATCGGAACATGGCAACTCTAATAGGAAGAAACCATTTTCCATGAAGAAGAAAAGCTCAGTTCATAGAAACAAAGGTAGGCCATGAGTTTAGAGTATCATGTTAGTTTTATATAGTTTTTTTTTATTATTTGGATTGTCACTTGATGTACATTTCATTTAATGAAAATTGATCTATTTTCTTCCCTCATTCAAGACACCGATGTAATTAGTATACTAGTTTACTTATATTTTATTTATTTCACAGACGAATCATCACCTCCAGAAGACGAAGGTATCAGCTCTTCAGAGAGATCTCTTAGCCCTGAAGGTGATCCCCAAAGAGACTCCATGGTTTATGAAGTATTCAATGTCAAAAACGAAACATACGATCTGATGCGAAACAAACGTACGTTACACAAAAAACTTGAATGCAAAAAGAATGACAAAAAATCTTCGGACGAAGAAGATGAAACAACAATAGATGAAGTTATTCAAGAACTAAGAAACATAGTTAATCATGCAGAGTCAGAACAATATGCTAAAGATTTTATTGATGATCGATCATCCAGATGTAACCAAACTTCAGAAATTAACGTCCCTCTAGAATGCAAAAAGCATAGGGATGAAAAAGAAGATTCTATTACAAGCACTAGACACAGTATACAGATTAAAGGAAAAGAGGACTTCCCTGATGATAGCGTAGAAGAAGATCAAGAGTCTGAAATTGTACCGACCAAAATAGTCCCTCACCCACCTAGAAAGGCCAAGAGCCTGCTACACTTATTCGTCCCACCAGTAGTAGACCAAGGATTGGTCTATAAACCTCCTGACCTTTACGATGATCATTTCTATTCAAGTGACGAAGGATCTGACTCTTTACTTAGCGCCTCAAAATACACGAAACCTGTCAGTAAGAAACCTTCAGGATCTAGTTTTGATTTCCACGAATGTCGAGCCGTATTTAATTCCATCACAGAAAAAAATAAGGATGAAGGCAGAACTAAGCGTTCTAGGACCCGTTCTAGAGAAGAAAGCAGGAGGACTTCCATTAAACGGAGTGAATCTTTTCAAACATCTGAAAAGGGATCAAGGCAGAGGGAATACATTGATAGCATGTTTTATGCAGAAACTCATACTCCTCACATGGGTTCAATGAACCCCTTACAAAGGTCTAATTCAAAATGCAGCCGAGTAGACGAAATAGTAAACTTGATTGAGTCCAAGAAACTTACTAAAAGTCTTGACAGAATTGACGAGGGTCTAAACTCAATGGTCGATATTGTAATGCTGACTGAACCTAGGAAGCCCGTCTGGCCATATGAGAGACGACAGAGATCCTGTTCCAGGACCAGTAGTGATGGAGGGAATGAGAGCCCCTTGATCCCAGTCACGAGGTCTAATAGCAAACTTAATAACATGCATCGTTACGACACGAAATCTAAGGATGATGTAATGAAAATGGATTCAAAACAATTTTATATGACACAACCTAAATTGAACTCTAGCCTCGAGAGTCAAACTGCTTTCAACAGCTCTACGTTCCTGGTGAAACGTGGTCATAGCAACGCTGGCTTTTATTCTGGACCTCATATGCTAAGAGATGCTCCGGCCAGCATGACGAGCCTTGTTGTCACTGGTACACACAGCCACGCAGATTTGAAAAGAACTCTGTCTCCAATTGGTTCGAACTCGAGCAAATATGGCGTCCACAAAGTGACGGATATGCCTTCTGGGTTGTACTAATAGGTGCCTCTATTATATGTTTTCGGAACCAACGACTAATTTTAGAGTTTCGTACCTAATTATATGGATAGTGCAATATAGCCCTCTAGGATGAAGCTAACATTTAGGCAAACATTCAGTTTTCGGTCGGTTTCATTTCCTGTCAATGATTTATTTACTTAAAGGGTTAACTTGAGCAAATATAAAATAAAATCGTGCGATGAAATGTTTACGTGGGACATGTAAATTGAAATCAGTTTATATTTTTTCTGGAAGAAATGTAATGTACTTGAATGATTTTGGGATTTTAAACATTACTCAAAATCTAGTCTGCTATTAAATTAATTTTCTTTGAACCTGCCAAAACTGAATGTATAAGTTCATCTTTTAATTTATTTTTAGTAATTTAGCGATTAAACAATTATTATGTATCTTGGTAATTTTGTTTTGTAGCAAAATTGGCTTAAGATCACAATGTCACTGCTGCCAGTTCATCAATCATTTATTTTTATTTAATATCTATAGTCATTTTGAAATCCTTGAACACCATATACAAGTTTCAATGAAAACGTCGATACTTAGTACTTCTTGAATCGATATTCAAAAATGCATTTTCTTTATTTATTTTGTCACGCATCCATAAACTCAAAAAAAATGTCTAGTGCAAATATGTCTGTATATTTGTTAACTACCTAATTACTTTATTAGTTCGTTGTAAATAATTATGTTTATCAATTTAAATCGTAGCATTTCTTGTATTTACTTTATTATTGTAATAAAAACATTTAAGCAATTATTTTGTTTGGTTTCAACTTCCTTTGTAAATCTATAACGATCGAATTATTTTGAAGACCGTGCGTACACCATTTGATCAGATTCTCTACGCAGATTGACAAAGGACGGATATCAATTCGAGCTTTTAATTTTGAATTGTAAAGAACCGATTTCTATGAAGTGTTTGTCATAAAAAATGTAGGTATGGAACATGGTAATGAATTTTTCTATCGATATGAATACGCAGGAATGTTATCGCTAATACTTTGCAAGTAATCGGATATTCAGATTTCAAAGCCTGATGTAATATTTGTCAAACAATACCTAACTATGTCGTCATGACTAGTATTTTTTTACAAATAAAGGAGTGGTTTTGCCAATTGATAAAGGTTAAGACTAGATTATGAGTGTTTTGTCTACATGGTCATAAATAGGTTAAACTTGTAGGTGTTGATACAGCCATATGATTAATTAATTTTTGGGTCAGACAAAACCTTCCAAATTTTTCACTTGACCATACCCGTAAGACATAGTAAGTCGTGTAATAGTGTTATCAGAGAGAGAAAAAAACAATTTAATCGGTAATTATTTAGTATAATGGCGAATTAAGTAGTACATTTAGCATATTTACATCCATAGGAAATTAATTAAACTATGTTTCATGTACAACTCTATCTATTACTAAATTGTAACTTAACAAGACATGATTTTGTTCATTATCAATAACGACTTGACTTATAACATTATTCACACTAGTCAAGCCATTATTATTATCCACAAGTTCACTCTCTCCATTCAAGAACTTCTTACTTAAAAAAGGACGATAAATAAAACAAATCTTAAGTCGGAATCCTTATATCAAAACCATATTTACACTATTTACAAGAAACATCGGATTTACAGTCGTCTTTCTGCCTGTTTCATCAGAGGAATCAGGGTCCTTTCGTACAACTGTTCTCTTACATCCCTTCCCCAAATGAAGTCGAAGTGGTTGAAAGTATCCCTCTCAACTTTGTACGTACCAACTACATTAGGCAAAGTAGCTGCAAGAGTGAGTAGGTCCTTGAAATGAACTTCTTTGTCATTCTGACCGTAGTGTAGGTAAGAGGGAACGGTGACCTTGGAAAGGTCGTAGGCTGGAGGGTTGAAGCTACCATACACTCCCAAGTTAGTAATAGAGTTGTGGTTGTAGCGGCGGAAGGCCTTGAAGCGGATGGTCTGGCCATAGTGGGCCACTTGGCGAACAGAAGCACCGGCTGGCGCGTGAGACAGGAACAGTGGGATCATGGTCTAGAACAAAAATAAGCATTAAATATTGGTACAACCAACAAAAATTTTACAGAACATTAGATTTAGTATCATGTTAACTTAACGTTGCAGATTGAGACGATTTATTGATGAAAACGACTTAATCACGTGAATTAACTAAGAAAAACTCTACTAGTTTCAGTTTACTACGGGACCTTTATTTATTCATGAGCAGGCGTCACCGTGAAGCCCACGATGTACACTAGAAGAGCTTATTTCAGTGAATTCACGCGAGAAAGCCGTTATTTTCAATAAGGGTAATATGTCTCGCAATAGATAGTATACAAAAATTCTGACGATTGCTCTAGAAACCCAATCTGCATTTAAAATTAGAAATTTTGCCTTGTTTTAACTGACGATAATAGTACAGTAAGATATTTTGTCACAGAAAATGCGAATCAACTGTCCACGCGTTTTTTGTGACACATTATCATGATATCTTTATATACTTACAGCATTGTAATGTTCAGGGTCGAGGAGGTTATCGAATTCCATATCACAGACGTCAGCCAACAGGCTGGTGATGCCATTGCAGAAAGTCGATCTGATCCAGTACACGAAATCTCGATTGCCAAAGATCTCGGGCTGGCCTAAGAGGAAGGCGGTAGTCTGCGAAGAATATACTATAATTATCAGTCTGTTCCTTAATAGTTAAAAGATCTTATTTTTAAAGACAAGAAATTTTCTTGATGCCTCTTTTTAAAACTGGTAGAAAATGACGCAATTTTTTTAAAGGGTCATTACTTTTTTCTTTTAAAAAACAATATAGTGGATCATATGTTTAAAAAAAAAATGAAAATAACTATGTGTTCAAAATATTCTCATTCTCTCTGTTAGCAAAATATAGAAATTAATTTATAGCAATACTCTTATCAGAGGAACTAAGTAATTTGTTTTTGAACAAACACGTGTACAGCCATCATAGATTTTATATTAATACATCCTGGTTAACCAATTACGATTCGATTATTATAAAAGAAATAGATTTTAATCTACGTATTTTTTGACAAATTGTGATATTTCTTCGCAAAAACCTACTTACAGGCTACGTAGCAGATATCTTAAGATATAACATGATTATTTATGATAATCAGGTAATTTATGACACGTATAGTCGTATACTACGCTTAGATGTTTATCGTCAATTTAAATTTTGATAAAAATAAGCAAGAATCATAAAACATACAATATTTTCCTTCTTACATTGTTATAATTTGTTAATCATATGTAAGCGCCTATTCATTGTGTCATTAATTGGTCTAATGAACAATTAATAGACCAGATTGATATCTCGATTACAACGGCTAGTATATGCGTTAGAAATTGGCAGGACAGTGGCTGTTAAATTCAAACTATAGGCTGGAACTAAACATTGCTTGCTTGCTTCTGGCGGCGCAATGTGTTCCACAGCGAAAAGCGTATATAAGTCTACTCATTCCGTAAAATTAGTTTAACATTATGTACTGCAAATAACAGAAGACAAATATCAACAGGTACCAACCTCGATGGTGCTTTCATGAGGAGCCAAAGAATTGAATAGAGCCACTTCGTTGTGCTCGAAGTAGGAAGCAGGAGCTAAACCTTGGAAGCTAATGAATTTCTCATTATATTTCGGTTGCAGAGAGTTCAATACGAGGAATGTAGTTCCACCCTGGGAATGGCCGATGTAGTGGAGTTTCTCATGACCAGTTCTGTCCAAGATGAAATCGACAAAAGCGGCGAGGTCAATGTTGCCGATTTCATCCCAACTGAACCTCCAGAAGTTGTGGTTGATGCTACTGTCTGGGTTCAGAGAGCGGTGTTTGCGCGAGTAGAAGTTACCACGGGCATTGCCTAGCCATACGTCGTAACCAGCTTCAGCAAGCAGGTAGGCTGTGGAAGAAGGTGAAATTTTAGTGGATGGTTTATTGGATCATACATTAAGTAATTTAGGAATTATTTTATAATCTTATTCTAGATGTTTACACACTTGTTGAGCAAAACTATAAGCAAAATATATATTTTCCTGATATTCAAGTTTATCAAATAATAAAACCTCGAAAAAAAATCATCTTCTTAAATAATTTACGAAGAAACATTGTGCGCAATTTGCTAATCTTAAAGAGATTAGCCACCGCCTTCGATTGCAAGATCCCTTTTTGCACTTGATATTGTTTATCAATAAAAATATTTTAATAAATTTCTCCAATCACTGTCCAATCAAGAATCAAAACAAATACCTATGTGTCTTCCGAAGAATTAAACCTGATTAAAATATATCGGACATTGGTATCTAAGATTTAATTTTGGAACTGTCTATCGTTTGCGATTAATCGATTTATATCGACAAATGTCACGTAAAGTCGATAGTATTATTAGCAAGATATTAATCAATAATTAAATGACACTTAAAAGTTATTTCGTAGCTGGTGAATGAATAACTGGCTACTACTGATAGGAAAGCTAGATTTTATCTCTGATGATGAATTGCCATGAATCATTGAATATGAGCATTTGTGTTCCAATTTGTGCTTGAGAAGAACTTACAAGTACATATTTAAAAGGTATGATGCAATAGATATCAGATATACATAGATTACCTAGACACGTGCAAGTACGATATAGAAATAATGCGATGTGAAAATTGCAACCATTGCAATTGATTCCAATCTTGGTTAATGTCCTATCATAAGATGTAGGTATAATTTTAATACAATACTGTTGGATTTGAATAATTATATAAGTAAAAGTGTAGAAAGAAAACAAAGAAGAGATTTAACAGTAGGGAATATAAGATCTGAAATATGCCAAGTCTGGTATACACAATTGAAAAAGATAGCATGTTGCATTTTAATAACGTTGAGCCAAAATAGGAGTAACATATATTTATTAAGTTGTATTTTACAGACGACAATATTTTTAATTATGTACGATTTCTTTTTTGTTTTTTTTTTATAGCGTTCTGTTTGATTTTGAATAGAACAATGCATTTCTCCCTCCTTTAATTACATTCCCAATTCTCCAATCTTTGAATCCCTAGCCTTTAGGCCTATGAACACAAGCCCGTCCAGTAGCTCCAGCTCCTATGTGTAATTGTTTGTCCGTATGATATGTGATAAATGTATTTGCTTTCTTTCTTTCATTCTTTCTCCTCATGGTGTTGAGTTTGAGTTGAATTTCCAAAGAGTGCTCTTTTACAGATTTCCTTTATTGCCAAGAATTATAGCAAGATCGTCAGTTTAGACACAGATTATAAATATCTAAAACTATATAGGAGGGCAATGCACTGCGAAGGTTAGTTTTCAGGGTTGATGTCACATCCACCGATTAGTCCATTCATTATCTAAGTACCTACATGGTTTATCATCAAATACTTTTTGTGTTAACGATATTAATGATGTGTCATGGTTTTCAATTGTATTATTTGGTTTAAAGAAATGTCTTTTATTTGTGAATGCTGGTGTTAATTCTGGAACCGATCATTTTATGTCATTATTGATTATCAGATTTTTGAACTAAGTAAAGATCGGTTTTTACAATAATGCTTAGTTATAATAAGTAGGCTTAAACTTAAATAATTTTAACATAAACAATGTTTATTCTTTTTATTCAAGGTCAACAAGGTCTTTTCACAGACATTTATAAGCAATATTGTGACCATCGAGCGACAACGCTGTCAATCACTTATAAATCTGCCTATCGTTATTTGCAGGTCATATTTTTTCGGAATATAGTGCATACTAGACAGTTGGCTGAAGAGGTTTCGAATTTACATCATGTTTTGAAACAGACACGTGAAAAATACAAATTTATAGAATTGATAAAACAATCCGAACCTCGTATGGAATTATGTAATTGATAAAATAGCCCAAAACTCGTGTGGTGGAAATTTTAATCCGATTGTCTATTTGTTTATTTATTATCTGCAAATATGTGTGAATTGGGTTTTCCAAATGTAAAGTGTACGTTCTTCTTTCTAATGTAAACCACAAATCACTTGAGGGTCAATTTTCTATTATACCCGAAATCGATTTTTTGTTCATCATCAGCCTATACTTCCCTAGTGCTGAGGAAAGGCCTCTTCTCATTTGGAGAAGGTCTGAGAATTGATTACCACGGTTTTTAACGGTAGGTTTACGATTTTTAAACTTATAATTGGATAATTATAAGTCCAAGTTTTCACACAATGTTAGTTCAGATTTTCTCACGAACTTGTTTAGCCGTTTTTTTTTATTTATTTGGCTCATTTACAAGTTTATGTTTCAATCTGGGCATTGACAGGAAAATTCTTGTTTACACTTTTTCAAATTTGTCTTCTATCTATTGGCCTTCAGTGCATAACATGTCATATCATGTCAAGTGCAAAAGATTCAGATAAGTCCTAGTATCATGACAATGACTTGTGATTATATTAAACTTTGGCCGGGTAATTACTTAAACTGATAAAGCCATTGTTTGGCTGCGATGGGCATGCATCAAAGATTAAGAGTTAAACATTGTTAAGATCTTCTTAATCCCCATTTCTTAAGCTTGTATTATGTAAATATTGTTTTAAACAATCTCAGTGATCTCGTTTCTTTTCGACACTTTTACTGACTTTTATTTCATCCTACCTTTAAAAATCGTATGTCCAACTAATATGTACAGCTATCATGTAAAGATGAATGCATGCAATTCAGCGAATTTTTAACTTGAGGAACTTCCTCAAAATTAAATAGAGCTCTTATGGAAGTTAATAGAATTAAATTAGTTACTATAAAATTGAGCAGTTTCTATTGGTTATAGGATGTAAATGCTCTTATTACACAATTACATTTGTGAAAATTATGTTGTAAAAAAGCTTTCCTAACTTAGTCAAACCCAAAAAGGCGTTCGGCGCCCACAAATTTTAATAACATAAAATTTTGCAGGGATATGGTTCTCTTTCTATACTTACTATTACTAACTACACCTACTACATCTTAAAGAAGAAATCTTCTTCACATCAATTAAAAAAAATTTAATAATGTCATTATCCTCAACCGAAAATTAACGAGTCTGCTGATTAAAACACAGATAATTATTTTATTAAATTAAATCTCACCACTGCTTACAAGCAACCGATTAAAAATATTGTATAAAATAAATTACTAAGATGCTTAAAAACCTGGGAGGATAATGACTTGTTAAATAAAAGTTAAGGTTTTTTGGAGAATCACCCCTTACCTAGAGCATTTCCGGGTCCCAAAACGATGAAATCAGCGGAGGAAGACAGAAGACCGTGCATAACAAGCACAGGGATCTTCTTGGGGTCAGGTTTGTTGTTGTGGTCCCTTCCGTGAGGGATCCTGTGCATCTCAAGGATGTATCCATCGGAGGTGATGACGTTGTGTACTTCGATGGGATAGCCATATTTAGCTACAAGGCCGGGCTGCAAAAGAAATTAGATTTTTAGATTCTGCTTTATTGCTTCTTAATTCTTCTTAATGCGTTGGACGTCATAGGGGACAACATATGGGCCACGGAGGGCTTGAATGGTAATACTTATCCAGAATTTAAAGTCTTAATTAAATTTGTGGATTAAAAGAAATGAATATGTCGGAGCGACGATTATTTAAATTGAATTTTGAAGGAGGTTTTATTACAATTCATCGGACGAGGGTACCATAAATCGTACTCTGGCGGAACGTCAAACTGGCAGTTCTGCGTGCGCATTATAGTGGAGAGCGAGCGCTATGGCTGTCATCTGAGACGGATCGCCGAAGTCCGTTATTTTTGTAATTTATTCGGCCTGATTATAAAATTCTACGCCCTGCGATGGACTGTGAAGACGATGATCGGGTTGTTGATGTTTGTACCAACCCCCCGGTGCCTTCAAATATATATTGTGCTAGTAAATAAAACAACATGATATAAACAAAAAAAATGAATCAATATCATTCAATCAATTTGGTAGTTCTCACAATGGGTATTAATATATCAAAACATTTTTCTGCTGCAACCACTACAACATTTTTAAGCCAGGATCTACAGTACATACAACCATGAAACAGTGTACCGGACACTGAAGTCCGGCGCATACCAGGGACATGAATGACTGTCTTGGATCCCGCCACGAAATTAATCAGAAGATATTTTTTGAGTAGAAGAAAAAACTAAATGTTTCCACTTCACACTAAATCAAAAGGTCTTTTAAAAAGTGTAATCAGAACATTCCCACCCAGCCAAAACCCTTATTTACAGTTGTTAAGAAGAATTAGTCTGTGAAAAATAGTTACTGCCTTTAGCGATGTCCAGAAAAGTTTTGTAAAGGTCACGATCAAATGAATATTATTAAATATAACATTGACAATGATAGTTAATCTCTCGGGGAATAAGGTTATGAAATTAAAAATCACACAATAACGTCAAAATTGATACGTTAAATATTTACATCATTAATAAGCGTGATTCATAATTTATCAGGCAGATAATTCGTAAATCTTTTAAAATTCTACGGACGGCGCTTTGAATGAAGAAATATTAAATTTGATTACAATAAACAACATTATTAGTCTCTTTTTCCTTATTATGATGTGTAAAAGGTTAGAGATTTTCTTTAAGTTTATGATCATCAAACAATGTCCTTTCAATTATGTATAACTACACAAAGCAATATTTGTCACCTCGTTCATGACAATAACTTCAACAAATTTGGTGAAACTTGCAAAAGAGTTTCACATTATTATCATAATTTATAGGCTGGTGTACAGCAGCCTTTAAAAGCGGATTGCTAAGCAAATACCTCTTTTGGAAATAAAGAAGTTTACTGGGTCAAAAAATAGGTGGGTGCCTTTTTTCTCAGGGGAAATCATCAAACCGCGGTGACTCATTGCGCTTGCCACGCAACCCTGGCTAAACATCAGCCCTATAGGGTCCCGTCTGTAGTGGTCTATTGGGTCTTAGAGGCGCGCGCGGAATTCTACGAGCCGTACGCTCGAGAAATGCTCTCACGATAACGCCCCAAAACCCAGGATGTTTACTGCATCAGCGAAGGCGTGAGGAGGATCACGGTCAGGTCACGATCTTTAATTCCTTCTTAGCAAAAGTCATTGCTTCAAAAAAAGAGCAGATGGCTTCACAGTTCATAGCAAAAGGTTCTACACCATGGCCTGGACCAAGGCTGGACCTTTTTCTTTACTGTGAAGCAACTCCTCTCCTCAAGACCGGGTGTGAGAGGTCGCGGAGTATAAAACCTAAGGTACTTCGACCGGGGATTGGTCGTGTGCCTACGGTATCATGCATTGAAGCCTAAAATAGACTATCCTACAAATTTCATACTTTTGATATGGTAATTTTCAGCGAAAGCTATATATTATTATATTATGCGTATTCCTATGTTTACTAACCACATTGTGGTTTTCTTTTAAAAAGGGGCTGTTAAACAATGACTTCCCATCCATTGACGATCTACCACAAATTTGATTTTATACAAGACCTTAATGTTTTCAGCATTTCATTATGCCTTAAACAACAATCTGTAGATCACACAACGAGTTATTTTGATCGACAATAGAAATCGATACGTAACACGGCAACCAAATCAAGCCACGAACAAATTCAAGATCTGCGGCGCCAACCGTGATGTTGAATAATTAAATTTTACTTATTGCATCTATTCAAAATATTTTAATAAAAAATAAATTAATAACAGTATTACGGATATCTTAGCCGTATTTTTTTTTAATTATCATAGTACATACGAAAACTTTCGAGCATAAATGAAATAAAAAAGTCAAGTACACAATAACTTGGTTTCACATAACACATAAAAACTCACCGCATCTAAATTGATGTCCTCTTCAATATCACTGGACATACGCGATGCAGGCGAATTTTTCAGGAGCCCTTCAGCATAATTGGCGTTTGGTGGCCTACGGGCCGAAGCGGAAACCGCTAACGCGACGAAAAGTACAATTTTCAGCACCATTTTTGCACGTTAGTGATCTACTGATGAATTTAACTTGTCGCACCGACTTTTGTAAAGTGCTTATCTCGTCATTAGGCCCTTATCTCAAGATTAAGAAGCCGCTTATAATGTTTAGGAAGTCACCAATTATAACTCGTATTTTATAAAAACAAATAATTATTTATTTTATTGCGTATTAGAAATTTAATATTTTTTTCCTTTTTTTTCTTCTTTACCGGAAGTTTTATTTGTGGTTTTCAAAGACCTTTTTGACAGAGACGTTAACTGATAAGGATGGATTGTAACTATTTGCGTGAGAAAGCTATCGTTTGGTGCGAATGGGTCAGCATAAACGGAGAACAGACGAAGTAATATCACTGTCTTATAGAAAGTCGGCGTGAAATAACGCGAGCTCTGTTTTACTGTGTAACGTGTACCGCGTCGTATACCAAAGCAAGATGGCGGGTTTCAAACTATTTGTAAAATGGCAATACTCAATTTTACCTATACACATACATATGTATGATATGTAATATACTGAAAACAAAAAAAAATGCGAGCGTTTTTAAAAGGTCTAATAGAGTCTTGTGTGTAGTATTACATTTATCATGAATTTTGAAGTGTGGGAAGGTTATGCTTGGGCACAAGTAGGTCGGCTTGACCGAAGTGATAGTATGGTTTATTACGTCCTGTGATGTTACAGGAGACAAAAGCCCCACAGCTAGGAGAGAGCAACTTGTCTTTGGCACTTGGCGACGCTACTCAACTCTTTTGGCGTTGTCAGTGGTCATAGGCGGGACATACTTGGCATTGGGTGATTTGTGAAAAAAATATTGTAGTTTCATTTTCCCGTAATCACATTATCACAGATTAAAAAGTAATATAATATATTATACATAATATTATTACAGATTAAATAGTAATATAATTTTGACATTACTAAAACAGTGCTAACAATTGGAAATATAATTTCTAAGTACAGATAAAAATAAGGGCATGCGTGGAGAGCGAAATGGATAAAAAAGGGAGCAAAACCACGGAAAAAGTTAGTAAGAAATTAATTAAATACTTTAACTAAAATTCGCGGGTTACTCACGTGTGAATGTTGAGAAAAGCTCTACTAGTTTCGAACCACAGAGGGGTTCTTCCTCATGAGCAGCGTGCGCGGACGTAGGCTGCGCGACGTCGCCGCGTAACTAGTAGAGCTTTTCTCAACATTCACACGTGAGTAACCCGCGAATTTTTGTTAATTTAGTATGTCTCACGATAGTTATTATAAAAACATAATTAAATACTTGATTCCTAGACTGATTTGATTCGTATATTTGATAGATGGCTAATGTGAGAAATTATCAATGTTATTAGTACCAGCGCAGTTGTTTTACGAAAAATGTATGAGTCTTCATTGCAGAATAAAATACATTCCATGCTTGTGTGCTTTTTTTCAAGACAAAGCGATTTTGGCCATTTAGTCATTAAGAGTCTGACACTCTGACTTTCTCATCCGACCTAGGGCGTCAGAAAAACAATTCAGCAAGACATCAAATGATTTTACCCCATCCAAAAAAAAAACGAAACAAAAAGATAGTTTGAATAGTGGAATCGTTTTAATTCCATCGTTTCTCGATTAAGTTGTTTTTTTATTTGTTGTTACGATAGAATAGAACAGAGTTATCAAAATGTTGTGTACCTAATATTTTTTTGTTTATGAATAGACAGACAACACACCTAATATCAGAACAGAACAGAGGGCCTACCGTGACGTGTACAATAAAATTGAGGCTGTATACGCCTTCTATAGCTCCATCCCTCTTTCTCGCCCGGAAGATTCACGCTCCTACAGAACTATCAAAATATACCTGCAGCCTCAATTTTATTTATTGTATGCGCAGTAACATTTACAGGTTTTAGATTCTATTAATATAAAGATTAGCACCCAATCGGCGAAGTTCAATAGCCAAAGATAATTCTGTACATTATGATACTTAGTGGGCTATGTCTTTATCTTTTATGACATTTTGAATAAATATTGCACTCGCTAAGTGATTTTATAAATTACTTAGCTTCTGCTAGCGGCTTTACTCGCAGTCTTAGGCTGAAATAAAGCCTATGCCTGTGTTGGACAGCGATGCTCCGGTACGAATGAGTCGGCTCGACCGGAGTAAATACAGAAAACCAAAATAAACACATAAATATATCATAAATGTTATTTTTTATGTAATGGGTCGGCAAATGAGCAGACGCATTACCTGCTGGTGGTAAGCAATCAGCGCCACCTAGGAACGCAAGTGAGGAGTTGCGAGTGTGTTGCCGACCTTTTGGGGATAAGGATTTGGAGATTGAGAGATTGGGGGAAGGGAAGGATTGGGCCTTCGGCAACCTCACACGGCGGAACACAGCGCTGTGATTATTTCACGCCGGTCGCCGGCCTTATAGAAAGGCCGGGGTATCACTCCGGTCGAGCCGACCCATTCGTGCCGAAGAATGGAAATAAGGGTTATAACAAAAAAAAAATTAAGACAAAGACAAATCAAAACTGGGTTAAGTAACCATTTAAAGACTCTGAGTATGGCGTTAAGTTAAAATAAATAAATAATGAGTAGTCTGTTGTTGTCAATGATTAACATAAACGATATTGTTTTTAAAACTCGATCTATGAACGATAAGCATCGATTTATTATCGTACAAGTCTTTTAGTCACCTTGAATCAAGTTCAATTGTTTTTTTTTATATTTTTTATTCGATACTTTTATAAACAGGCATGCGGATCCCCTGATTTCGAGCAATCAGCGTCACCTACTGCAACATCTGGGAGTCACAAATACATTGAATACACTACATACATACATTGAATTGGGGATCGGAGATGGGGAAAGGGTAGATTGGCTTCAGTAACTCTCAAATAGAGGAACACAATGATGCATTGTTTTGCGCTGGTTTTTGTGTAAGGCTGTGGTATTACTCCGTGTCGAGACAACCAATTCTTGCCTAAGCATGACTCTCCCAGTTTTAGTTTGTTTTTTAAATATTATTTTTATAGGCACACGTCAAAGGAGCAGACTTTTCTTTACTTTATTTTTTGAGGTGTTTTGCCCAACTCTGGGATTTTCTCCAATGTGTATGGCCGATGGAATATGGCCGACGTTAACTTCCAAACTTTACCTAAATAGGTTAAGATACTTCAAACATTTATTAAAATTGTGACTCAATACCCCATTAATAAGTAAGGAAAATGATAAAATGAAACATTATCTATCATAAATTAAATAAAATAGCTTTATTACAATATGAGTAATCACGAATTTGAAAATAAAGAGTGTATGTTTTACTTTATCAATACATAAAAACAACTTGAAGATAATAGTTGTGATGAATCATAGAAAAAAGTATCTACTTGATACTGAACATAAAACTTATGGCATAATGGCTTCTGCCAGAGGGCTTTGCCTACAGTATTACCAGGCTAAGTGTGGGAGAGCCATGCTTCGGCACGAATGGGTCGGCTCGACCGAAGTGATACCACGCCCTCACAGAAAACCGCCGTGAAACAACCACAGCGTTGTGTTTCGCCGTGTGAGTGAGGTTACCGGAGGCCCAGTCCTTCCCCTTCCCGGACCCTTCCCCAATCCCTAAATCTCCAAATCCCTAATCCCTAAAAGGTCGGCAACGCACTCGTAACTCCTCCGTTGCGGGTGTCCATGGGCGGCGTTGATTGCTTACCATCAGGTAATCCGTCTGCTCGTTTGCCGACTTATTAAATAAAAAAAGGCTAAAAGTTAACCTATAAAGGTATTCCAGACTACAATCTACTTCTATGGCAAATTTTATTGAGAACCATTCAGTACCTAGCTTGCCTGCAACAGTCTTCCCGTCCTATAGTGATTTAGGTGTCTTCAACGATTGCATCACTGCTTACCATCAGACGGGATTGCAGTCAAGCACTAGTATATAAAAAAGTTTTTACGTAAAATAGTAACAAACATCCATCTATCCATTAGAGACTGTATTACACCGCCTTGGGCTGATAGGGATTTGAGCATTGGGGCGTTGGGAAACTAGGAATCGAGGAAAGGAATGGAAATTAATGGGCCTTGGACTCCTCTCACACAGGACCGAAACATAACCTAAGCGTTTTTTTCACGCCGTCTTTCTGCGAGAACTTAGTATTACTCCATTCGTGCCGACGCGACGACGCATTCGTGCCGAAGCATGTTACCTACACTTAGAAACTTTGGCGTTTGTAATATAAGTATGATTTACAACTTTTGAGATATCACTTAATACTAGTAAATACTATGTATACAATGAAGGCGAAAAGAAATGAGTAATGATGAATTTTGCTTTTGAAAATGATGGATATTTTAAAGATCTGAGGTGACTTGTAAATTATAATTACAAACACAAGCATACAATTTCATCATAATATATAACATCGATGCTTCCGACAACAAAGGTCGTAAACACCAAAATAGCACTTTTGGTAATCAACGAAAAACAAAAAATAATTTCGTTTTTGGCTTATATCTTTTTAACTTTAAAAGTTGTAAAATTGTGTTCTATTTAAGAAATACGTAAAATACGATGGTGTTTCATAATATATTATTGCTATTTATGTCAAAGCCTTATTTTAAAAGTTAGCTTGGACATACACCCCAGAAAATTCAAGAAGTTGGTATTTACGACCACTAACAAATCAATGGAGAACGATTTGTCTAACGAAAGTTAGAAGTATGCACCAGTTTTTAAATACAATAGTTCTGGGTTTGGTTTTAAAAACCATATACTGAAATAAAAATGAGTGTAAACACCACAATCTGATGCGATGGTATGTAACAAACATGGAAATATCTGAAGCGAAAGTCTATAGTCCTTTCGACTGGCAGGTCCTAAAGGTATAAAAATACACTTAAGTAAGTATATTAAAGGCATCTTCCCGTATATAATTTAATCAAGCGTTTATTACAAGATGCCTATAGTGTTCTACCTCCAACGACGTACCTAACCAGCCAGACATAAATCAAAATGTTAAGTAATCATTTTGT